AGGGAGCGTCTGCCAAGTGCCACGCCGCGCTCGGCCGCAGAGGCGCTTCGCGCGCGCACGGGGCCCCTTGGAGACGCGCCGGTGAGCTCAGGGTTCCGTCGGAAGCTCGGGACGGCCGGAGCGGGGGTGCCCGAGACACCAGAGCGGGAAAACCCTCCGGAAAGGGTCCCGCAGAGCCGGAGAGCCCGAGCACCGCGCACGCAGCGCCGAGCGCACCAACTCCGCGCCTGGACGCGTGGCGCCACCCCCCGCGGGCTACGCCACGCCCACCCCGACACACGCGACACCCGCCGCGCACATGCACACGCACGCAGGTCTGGCCCCTGCTGCCGCCGCTGTGGCGGAGTAAACACCGGTGGGAAAGCGCGCTGCGGGCCGGCTCTGAGCGAGCCAGCCCCGCCCCGCACGCGTCCACCGCCCCCCCCCCAAAAGAGGGGCGGCACTGACCCGGCCCGCGGCTTCCCTACCAGGGACACCCAAGCCCTTTGGGTGCTCTTCGGCGCTGCCACGACCTTGGGAAGAAAGACGCAGCACTTGCGCGCACTCTTCCTCTTTCCCTCTGCTTTTTCTCTCCTTCATTCTTCTTTTTTATTCTTTCCTTCCTTTTTCTTTCTAAAGTTCTTTGTCTTAGAAGGTGTCCCTGCCCCTTCTACCTCTAACAGAGAAATGATTTACCTACCCTCGAGTGACTGATCAGGTGGCAGCCGCAAGACACCCATCCCCACGCCTCTCTTCCTTCCACCCACCCGGGATAAGTAAGACCTTTGAAAATGCAGCTGCTCAGTGTGACTGATAAACGTCCTCACTTGCCTCAGAGGACACTATGGAGAGGTGAGAGAGCTCTGGAGCCTAGCATCTGCTGCTCAGGTTCAAATCTCGGCTCTCTCACTTGCTGAGTGACCTTGGGCAGGTCCCCCCACCTCCAAAAGCCTCAGTTTTTTCATTGATACAATGGGAATAACAATGCTACCTACCTAATGTTGTTATGTGCCATCGAGTTGGCCTGACTCATAGTGACCTCATATAGAGTCCTAAAAAAAACTCACTGCGGTGGAGTCGATTTCGACTCATAGCAACTCCTCCTTAGGTTTCCCAGGCGATTTGTCTGTGGAAGATTGCCCAATCTTCCTTCTGAGGAGTGGCTGATGGGTTTGAACCACCAGCCTTCTGGTTAGCAGTCAGGGTTATGTGTTCATGGGAAGTAACTTGGAACAGTGCCCACCACCTAGAAAGTTCTCTGTAAATGTTTCTTTTTGTTTATAATTATTACATGTGTGAACTGCCCTCTTGGCCAGGCCCTACTGTCCAAACTACCCACAGAATCCCTAACCCACCCCCATTCAAAGAGCCATCCCCCAGCTGATTCATAGTATCTCCCCCTTTAGACTACAATCACTTTGGGTAGGAACGTTATTGCTTCGTCTTCTGTTTCAAACACCTACACTGGCTCTCCCTATGGACTCTGTATTTATGGCAAGTGCCTAAGAACACAGGAAGAGAAAGGGGTGACTTCAGCCCCCACAGAGCTCTGTTTCTCTGGGACCACAGCAAGGTGGCATTTGATCTGGACCTTGAGAGACGAGTGCTGTTCCCCTAAGCAAGGAGTAAAGGATGTGAGGTAAGGGATCTTGCAACGCATGGCTGGTGAAGGCCAGTTATGTCCCAAAAAAGGTGGCTGACCTTTTGTTCCAGAGTTTTTAAGAGTAATGATGTCTGGAGTAGCTCTGCCACTTAGAAGCTGTTTGACCTTACATGGCTCTCTATGAGCCGCAGTTACCTCAAGCGGCTGGTGGGTTTGAACCGCCAACCTTCTGGTTAGCAGTCAATGCCTTAGGCACCAGAGCACCTTCCTATTTAATTAGTTGTATCTTTTTCATAGGCCATTGAATGAAACAGGCTTGCATTTGTATCCCAGCTCCCAGTCTTACTCTCAAGGAAGGGGTCTTTGTGAAAGTGAAATGTATGTAAAGCAGGGTTTTTCAACCTTGGGGCTACTGGCATTTGGAGTGTTTGTGTAGGGAGCTGTCCTGTGCATTGCAAGACATTCAGCATTTGACACATACTCACTAGACGCCAGAAGCATTCCCTAGCCAGTCCGTGAAAACCAAATATCTCCAGACATTGCCAGGTGCCCTCTTGGGGACAGAATCACTCCCAGGTTGAAAACCACTGACATAAAGTACCTGGCAAAGATAGCTGGCACATAGTAGGTGCTCAATAAAGGTCAGTCCCCTTCTCAGCCTGTGATTGAGGAAGGTCAGCTTCAAGTTTATATTTGTTGTACACACATATCCCACACTTCATCTAAGAATTTGCCTACACTGCCAAAAAGGTCACCCAGATATTTCTGCATTTGTGGATGGAGAGCATCCCAGGCCCACTCCATCTCTTTAACATTCTGTGACTCCCTCAGACTCCTCAAGGACATTTCTCCCCCTTCATCTTCATCTCTAGTGATAATGATGGCACCAAAAGATGGTGCAACTTGACCTAAGTTCTTAAGCACTCTGTGTCTCGTTTCACTCATCTATGAAATGAGGATAGTAACAGTTCCGACCTCCGGGCTTTTGCGAGGATTCCTGAGTTTATCATAAAAAGCACTTAGAATGCATAGAAGGCTCTCAGGAAGTGAAGGCTGTTATTCAACTCACGGATTGAGTGCTGAATCCATTAGGACACATTTGGCTGCAAAGAGGAGAAAAATGGGCTACTAATGGTTTAAGAGGGGCTCTGGTAGCACAGTGCCTAAGACATCTGACTGCTAACCAGAAGGTTGGTGGTTCAAACTCACCAGCCACTGCACGGAAGCAAGACTGGGCAATCTACTTTTGTAAAGATTTACTGTCTCAGAAACCCAATGAGGGTCGCTATGAGTCAGAATCAAATTGACAGCAGTGCGTGGGATGGCTTAAGACATAAGGACACTACTTCACTGTTAATCCCAATGGGGTAGTTCCCAAGGTTGGTTCAGGATTTGGTGATGTCATCAAGGACATCGACCCTACTATTTTCATTATGATGGCTTTTCCTCCCATGGTTTGGGGCCTCGTAGTCCCAAGATAGCAGGTGCAATGACAACATCACCTTCTCACACACAGCTGCAAAGAGGGAAAGAAAGGGCACAGGAGTGCTCTTCTCGGTGCCTCTCTTATCAGGGGGAAAATTTTCCCAGAAGCCCCCAGCAGATTTTCCCTTGCACTTCAGTGACCAGAACTGAGTCACGGGGCCACCCCTGAATAGTCCCTGAGCAGGAACAAAGGATGATCACCGTCAACTTAGATGCTTCATGCCAGGACATGGCTGCCTGAACAACTCAGGGTTCTGTTGTCAAGAGAGGAGGGGGAGAGTAGCTATTCAGTGGGCTTCTAACCGTGTCTGCTACAAGCACCTACTATGTGCTGGGCATTGGGTGAGATGCTAGAACCGTAGAAGTGAATGAGACTGACAAAATTCAGGCAGCCAGGGTGCTGCCATTCCAAGGAAAGCAGACAAAAATGAAGCAGATAACCAAGAAGGCATGTTTCCTCAGTCCGCCCTTTGACACATGTTTACTGAGGGCATTCTATGACCAGGAGTCCCTGGGTGACACAAACATGTAAGGCCTTGGCTTCCACCAACAGCGCAGGTTGGTTTGAATCCACGCAGAGGCTCCTCAAAGGCCTGCTGATGGACTAACGGAAGGTCACACCACTGAAAACTCTACGGAGCACAGTTCTACTCTGACAGACATGGGTTACCATGAGTTGGAGTCGATGACAGCTGGGTGTTTTTTATTGGTACTGTGCACAGCACTGCATATAGCAGTGAACCCAACAGATAAGGGCACTGCCCTCCTGGCACTTCTAGCCCAGAGCCGGCGGCAAAGGACAAGAACCACAATGTATAAACAAGATCCTTTCAGCTTCTCTAAGGCCTATGAGGGATGGGCCTGGAACACCAGTGTTGGTGGCACAGCCAAGCCTCTGTCCCAGGCCTAGTGACTCTGATGGTGGGAACACTCCATATTGCCACAATCAGTGGGGACTCCCTCTGTTCTAGGCCTGGCTGCTTCCCAGCAAATCCTGGCACAGGAACCCACTCACTAAGCCACACATGACTAAGGCATCACACATCACTGGGGGCTTTCTTTTCCTTTCCCCATTGCAACCTTGACCTCTCCTCCCTTCTTCTTCACCACTCCCCATCCGAACCCTCCAGGAGGGAGGCGTTCATATGTGTATCTGTGTATGTATGTATGTATGTATGTATCTCAGGGCAGGGGCCTAAACAGTCTAGAGCTGTGAAGCAGTCACCAAAAGAACAGGGAGAGAGAAGAATAAAAACTTTCAGCTCACAGGGGAAACAAACAACCCATGACAATGATAGGGAAACCCTCTGCCGCGGGACAATTTTAGAGTTTCAGTTGCCATGTGTTTTGCAAATAGGGGAAAATACCATTTTGTTTCTGTTGCGAAAGTTTCACATTTTGGGGAGAGAAGATATGCCTGCTTGGAAACACTAGACAGTCCCTTGTTCCTTCACAAGACCCTCTCAGGTTTCTGCAGGCTCGGGACTTGAAGACCCCCTCCTCAAGTTCTGTTTGGAAGAAAAATTAGTTAAGATAAAGCACAAACAAAAGAGGGGCTGTTTATGCACAGGGAGACAGTTTAGGGGGCAGGAGTGCATGGAGGGATGGACACAGGGAAGAGGTAACTATCAGGAG